GGCCGGGCCGGGGGGGTCAGAGGCCCCGGTGACAGGCGGCGAGGGGCTGGGCTGAAGGGACCAGAGGCCCCAGTGACGGGCGGCGAGGGGCCGGACAGACCAGGGGCTCAGGACTGGCCAGGGTTTCTAGGGGCACTGAGCGGGGGGCTATGGGAAGAGGAGAGGGGCTGTGGGAGAAGGGGCCCGGGGAGAGGCCATGGGAAATGCTGCCAACTCTTCCCCTGGGCCAAGAGCTGATAGTGGGGCTGGGGAGCCAGAGCAAACCCAGCCGGGGGCCGGCGTGGGCTGCTGGGCCGCTTGTGCCAGAGCCGGGCAGCCCCCCATTTCTGCCAGGCAGCATTGCCAGCCCCAGGTGTTCAAAATCATGAGTCAGGCTCACCAAAAATCATGAGGTGATGTAAACATACTAGATTTGGGGGTCTTTTTATTTGCCTTCCGTTTGCTGAGCCTTTAGGGTGCACTGGGGTCAGGTTTTGAAGCTGTCTCCACGCCACTAGGGCTAGAAACTTACTTTTCCTTTAAGAATGGCGGCAAAAAATCATCACATACCCACTTGACTCCAGGAGCTGGGGCTTTAAGGAAAACAATAATTATCATGAGACTCGTGACAAAATGATGAGAGTTGGCAATGGCTAATTCCTAGTCACTAGCGGAGCAGTAACCGCATCGACCGCCAGGGCCGGGTGGCTTGGAAGGATTCGGTTTTTATTGGTAAATGTTGATTCCAACAAACACTCAGGCACCCACAAAATATTTCCACCCATCATGACCGAAATTTACAGCTAAGAGAAATCCTGCTTGAGAACATACCAGGGTTTGATTTGAGGCTGTTCACGTGTGATGTTGACAATTTGTGTTTTCACCTTTACAAAGATTTAACTATTTGAATCTCAACATCTACTGTTGTTAAGTAATTGTCTGACACCCCCCACCCCAACAGTTTCCCACAAATGTGAAAATTTACATAGATGAAAATTGAAAAAATACTTAAAACCCATAACTTTGCACAGCTGTGAAAGTTTAAATTGATAAAAATGATAAAAGTTTATTAATGAACATGGATATTATCAGTTGAAATTATATATAAAAATAAATCTGCCCAGCCTCATTATGTGGGACAAGGGGTAGCTGGGCACAAAATGAAGTTTGCCCGTCGCAGTAAGGTGAGATCAGCTCCTTGGTGCCCAGCCTCCAGACAGGGAGAGCCCTGTGTCCTCCTTCTAGCTCCGCTTCTACGGGAGTGCTAGGCTGCGGGTTGTCTCTAAGAATGGCCTCTTCACCCCTTGCCCTGCATCTGAGTCAGGTCTCTTGCCTTGACAGGCACTGACATAAATACAGGGGAATAAATTAGAGCCTATTCCGCCTCTTGTGTCATCAGCAGGACGCCCAGATTCTGCAGCCACAGACTGTTGCTAAAAACTCCCTTTTTTGGTCCATGCTTAAAAACTACCACTGACAAGGTGATCAGGTAGCAGAGGGGTAGCCGTGTTAGTCTGGATCTGTAAAAAGCAACACAGAGTCCTGTGGCACCTTATAGACTAACAGACATATTGGAGCATGAGCTTTCGTCTGACGAAGTGAGTATTCACCCACGAAAGCTCATGCTCCAATACATCTGTTAGTCTGTAAGGTGCCACAGGACTCTCTGTTGCTTTTGACAATGTGATGTTAGCGGTGGGAAGCCTCCAGCTTGCTGTTTGGCTCCCAGGTGGGGAAGGAAGGGAGGGAGTTTGCAGGGCAGGCAGGTGTTGGGTCCATAGGCTCCACTCCCACCCCTCAGTAAATTCGTAGGCAGCTGTGCTGTACTCTGGTTCTTGGCCTTCAGGCGGCGACTGAGTCTGGATTGTGTGCAGTGTTGTGGCTGTGTTGGTCCCAGGATATCAGAGAGACAAGGGGAGTGAGGTAATATCTTTTATTGGACCAACTTGTGTTGGTGAGAGTGACAAGCTTTTGAACTGCACAGAGCTCTTCAGCAGGTCTGGGGAAGGCAGTCAGAGGGTATGTCTGCACTGCAATTAGACACCCATGGCAAGCCTGTGCTGGCTGACTTGGGCTAAGGGGCTATTTAATTATGATAGATGCTGCAGCCCTCTGGGATCCTCCCACCTCGCAGGTTCCTTCAGCCCTAGCCCGAACACCTAATGTGCAATTAAACAGCCCCTTAGCCAGAGCCCCAGTCAGCCGGCACAGGCCAGCGCGGGTTTTTAATGGCAGTGTAGACATACCCAGCGTGTCACAGCTAAATACAAGCTGGACCAGGTTGTTTCACATAAGTAGTTGATGACTTTTCTAAGGGACTATTCAAGGTGAAGTGGCCCATTAACACCCTTCCGGTCATAGAACAAAAAAAGGGAGTTATTGGGTTATTGATTGTTGTAAGAAGCCATAAATCCAGTGTCTTTATTAAGATCATGATTTTTAGTGTCTAGCAAAGTTATGAATTTAAGCTCCGAGGCTTGTCTTTTGAAGGTGTTGTGCTGGTTTCCTGGGAGGATGAGAACTGAGAGGGCAGATGTAGAGCAATTGCTTTGTGGAAAGTGTTCACCCACAGTTGATACGGTGCTTTTGCCTTTTATCATTTTCCTGTGTGAATTCATTTGAGAGCGTAGTGCTTGTCTGGTTTCATCCACATAGTTATTAGGGGGGATTTAATGCACTGGATGAGGTACAGCACATGTTGTGATAGGCATGTGTAGGACCCATGGATCTTGAAAGGTGTGTTGTGGGGAGTATTGAACATCGTAGCAGAGGAAGTGTCAACAGGTTTTGCATCTGTTGTTCTGGCAGAGTCTGGTGCCACTTCAAGTTGGTGAGTCCTGGTATATGGGGAGCTTGCTTCTCACGAGAGCTTGACGAGGTTGGGGGGGTTGTTTGAAGGCCAGAAGAGGGGGTTTGGGAAAGATTTCTTTCAGGTTGGGGTCCCCATCAAGTGTGCATTGTAACTGTTTAGTGATACCCTGTATGTATGGGTTCCAGTGTGGGGTGGTAGGTGACAACTAGAGATGTGAAGTCAGAGAGAGTTACTTTTCTGTATTGAAGCAGGTTCTTTTGAGGCATTTGAGGCCCATTCCATGACGTGATCTACTTCTCTGGTGAAGTGTCCTTGTTTAGTGAAGGTAGTTTAAAGTGTGTTAATGTGTGTATCCTGGACTTTCTCCTCAGAGCATATTCTGTGGTATCTGAGTGCCTGACTGTAGATAACAGATTTATTTCTTGGTGCGTTTAGGGTTGTTACTGGATGTGTGATCTGTGAGTGTTTTGTAAGTAGTTGTCTGTAGAGTTCCATTGCTGAAGCTGATTGTGGTGTCCAGGAAGTTGATGCTGGTGCAGGAATGTTCTAGAGAGAGTTTAATTGGATGGGTACTGGTTGTTGAAGTTGAGGTGGAAATCTACAAGGGAGCTTAGGTCATCTGTCCAGATATATCTCAGGTATATCATTGGTTTCATGGTGCATTTGTCCAGAAATTCTTCCTCACGGTGCCCATGAAGAAGTTGGCATATTGGGGAGCCATTACCCATTGCTGTTCCCATGGTTTGGACAAAGTGTTTGTTGCTGAATGTGAAATTGTTGTGGGTGAGGATGAAATGGATGAGTTTGACGATGTGTTTGGGGTGGATATCTGAGTGTTGTCCATTGTTTTGTAGATATTTGAGGAAGGCAGCCATGCCGTCATTATGAGGGATGTTGGTGTGTAGGGAGGTGGCATCCATGGTGGTACGGATGGTGTTCTGAAGGAGGCTGTTAATGTTGCAGAGTTTCTGGAGAAAGTTGGTTGTGTCCTGGAGGAAGCTGGCCCTTTGTGTGGCGACTGCTTTGAGGATGATTTCTATGAGTCCTGATGTTCCTTCAGTAAGAGTACAATGGCCAGATATGATGGACCTGCCTGGGCTCCCTTGGGAGGCACGTAGAAGGTCCCTGGGGTGGTCTCTTGGGGGGTGAGGTTGTATAGTTTCTCTTGGAGTTGTTTGGGGAAGGATTTGATGACATCCTTTAAATATCTGGTGAATTGTGGTGTGGGGTCTTCTTTGAGTTTCTTAGAGTAGGTGGTGTCGATTGGCCTCATTGACGTAGTCAGTGGTCGAGAACTATGATAGCACCCCCTTTGTCTGCTGGTTTGATCGTTTTCTGGTGGCTGAATTTCAGGGACTATATAGCTGTCCTCTCGGCAGTGGAGGGATTGTGGTGGTTGTGATTTGTGTTAAGGATTTCTCAACCAATCAATGTGTGTGGTTTTGTCCACTGTGCGGTGTTGAGTCAGATGATTCTTTCTTCCTGTGATTGTCGGTGGGAACATGGTAGTTGAGGGTGGTGTCGTCATTGTTGTGAAAGAATTCTGGGAGGCGGAGGTGGCAAAAGATTTCTTCTAGCTCTCCACATGTTCGTATGGTATCAGGTTCTGTGATGGGGCAGACGTTCAGTCCCTTGCAGAGGACAGAGAATTCAACTCTGGTTAGGGGTCGTCGTGATAAACTGATGAGGTTGGTGTGTCATGGAGTGCCGTGGGTCTCCCGGGGTGGTGTTCTGTGAGTTGTGAAGTTTGTTGTAGTTGGTTCCACTTGTTGTTGTGTTGGATGGCTGTTGTCAGGTTTTTTGTCTGGATTGTGCACTGTCGGCTTAAAGTGACAGTTCCCCAGTTGTGCCACCAGATGGTGCTAAAAAGCTAAAAATGCACATTACTGTGCCAAAGTCCTCAAATATGGTGACTGTAAGTGCAGTGTGATCCCTGCCATGACCCAAGGGGGAAGGGGGGACTGGCACAGCCCCAAAAGCCAGGGGTTTGGGACAGGCGAGGCTGTGTCCGTTCTAGCCGGAAAGATGGCGGCGACGTCAGTCGGTAGCGTGTGGGGCGGTAGCTTTGCTGAGCTACGCGACCCCAGGGAGGTGGTTGCTGTCAGGTTCAAATACAGGTCAGGCTGGTGGGGAGATGCACTTGGCTAAGAGGCTATTGCAATACACTAGCCAGGTGCCTGTGACCCTGTCCCCCTCTAGCAGCCGGCTCCAGTGACTAGAGCCTCCTGCTACGGACTCCCAGCTAATGGAGTTACTCTCCTAGGCCAAGCAGTAGCAGCCTGTGATCTGGCTGATGTCTTGCCTGGGTTAGTTACGCTGCGTACGAACTATGGACAAACCCTGGGGAGCAGACTCCTCTCCGCCCGGAGGCAGATGGAATCTACTCCTTGTTTCCCTTGGGGGGATTCCTGGGTCCTTGGAGCCAAGAGCAGCTCCCCTCTGCCCCCTTTTGCTCTCCTCTGATTCAGGCAGCGTTGCGGGAACGCCTTCCAGCCTCCATTAATGCCACCCCTAAAGCAGCCAGGCCGATTGGTGCTGAGCAAACTGCTGTCACTCCCCTTGCTTGCCGGGGCTGAGGGCACCGTCCATGCAGCATCACGGCCAGGAGCAAAGGGGATCGAGGCTGGGTTTCCCAGGCAGGAGAGCAGCGTGCTAGCTGTAGGGTCAGCAGGCTGGCCTGCTTTCAAAGCCAAGGGAAACTTCTTAATAAGCTCCATGTGAGATCTCAATCCTGGGAAGCATCAGACCCATGAAACAGTCTGTTTCTGGGCTCGGGAAATACCATCTGGCCCTCTTCCAACCCTCCGGGCTGTTTGTGCCTCTCTAATCTGCTAGCATCAACTGATCATTTTTCCTGTATTAACCACATATTGCATTAATGGTGAATTAGTCATAGCCAGAGAGATTAGGAGTTGTAATTAGTGCTAAAGAAGCATCCGCAGTGCTGAGGTGTATCGGCCTGCTCTGTACATTAACGATCCTGCGAATTCAGGCTTTGGGGCTGTTTGTGGCTGCTGCAGAATCGCCCCTTTCTGCTGTGGGGAGCAGGGATGGACGGCCTCATTTTCAACGAGGCTGAGTGCCCAGAGGACCCACTGATTTCAGTGGGAGCCGCAGGTGCTCAGCACATCTGAAAATCAGGCCGTTGGTTAGTTCCCACTGCTAGAAAGAAGAGCCGGGGGAGGGGACGGCTGCATGGCCGGAACATCAGAGGCCCAGTTCTCTTCACAACCCCAGAGGATACTGGAAACTCCTTGCGACTCCAGTGAGTGACTCGTTCCCTGCAGCTGGGGAGGGGGGCGCCAGGCTGGCCGTGTGTTTCAGCAGCGCCAGTTGGGATCATTGATGGGATGCAGCGACAACGTGGAGCCGTTGCTCCAAAGCAGAGGCAATGTCCCACCCAGGCGCATATTGGCAACGTGGCAAGGGCCAGTAGGTCACACCTAATTTGTAACATATCGAGCCCTTGTAGCATCATCCTCTTTAACCAGAGATCTGGCTCACGGAGACTGCAGGTCTCTGCTTGCCGTTCTCCATCGTGATCAAAGGGCAGCCGCAGAGCTGCACGGACCATGTTTTGCCCATGACATTGTGTAGGATAGTTCGGCCATAGACTCCTGGAGCCGCAGATGCACGGCTCTGAAATGTCTCCCATGGCCCCTGGGGCACGGTCCTCTGGGGGAGCCCCCTCTGTGCTCTGGCAGGTTGATCTTCACTGTCCCCCCTCTTGCTTTGTTTTGCAGCTTTTCCTGGACGATGCCAAAGTGAAGAACTTCATCACCTGTTTTAAAGGTAACGCCGTCCCTTCCCCACACGCCCCGATTCTGCTCTCCCTTGTCCCTTCTTCAGTGAGGGGATGATTTCTCTTCCCCCGTCTGGGAACTTGGCTCTCACAAGCTAAGCAGGATTGGGCTGGCTCAACGTTTGGATGGGAGACCGGTGGGGGAAATCTCCTGTGCCACAGGACGTAGAAACGGTGAATCCGTAGGGAGTTCTCGCTCCTCAGAATTGTCACTCATCTGATGGGACCCTATAGCGGTGCTCTCCCCTCTGGGCAGGGCAGACCCCAGTGCTCCAGTGAAGCACTCAGGGGCGCTGTGCTGCAGGGAGCAGGATGGGGGGCCGAGTGGGGGGCGCTCTCCCCTCTGAGTCAGCGTTGGCCCTACTGCCCTAGCATGGTGCTAGGAGATGCCATGCTATCGAAATCGCAGTTGATCAGCTGGGCCCCATGCGCTCCCTTTCACACCGCTCTGGGGCGGGGTCTCTCCTGACTAGAGGGAGGCGTGGAGAGGGGTGTGCTGAACCTCGCGGTGCCGTCTGGCTCAGCGCCTTCTCCTAGCTGCCTCTCTGGAGTCTCAGCCGTGGGTGTGATGATACCAGGCAGTGCTTGGAATGGCCCAAGCGGCTCCTGAGTGCACTTTGTCCTCTCAGGGTCTCTGGCCACCGCTGCGCTCTGCTGGCTGGAATCCGTCAGACCCGTTTGTTGGGTGAGCATGTTGCCCTCTGGTGGCTGCAGCCCGCCTAGGCCGTAAGGCTACTACTGTTGCGCAGGTGTGAATGTGTCCCAAGCAATCACGGATAAATCTATATTCTGCTGCACTTCCTAGGCATGGAGACAGGCTGGTGCGGCTTGTGCTGCAGGAGCTGTGGGCTGTGGGGTGAGGGATATAACTCAGCTAAGTTCTCCAGCCCCGCCGCTAATCACCCGTGGGTCCCACCCACTGCAGAAACACAATCTCCCTTGCTGCTCGCAGGAGGGCGTTATTCTGGGGTCTGCCTGCAGGACTCCTGCGCTGACTTCCTCCGCGCTCGCTGCTGCGGTTATTCACCAGCGCACCCCTTTGCAGGGACAGGAGGGGGCGGCCTGGCTGGGAGAGCCCCACGGGGATGTTCAGGGCTAAGCCTGGAGATGATTCCTAAAATCCCCTCACTTAGCTCCTCTGCAGGATTTTGAGCTTCCTCCGGAGCCGCACTCACCCCCTTCTCAGCGGCTGGTTTTCAAGAGCTGTGTGTGCGATTGTAATCCTTAATCGGGCTCCGAAAGCCACAGCTGGCTGACAGCTGGACCCGCGTGTTAGTAAAGCAGTTCAGCCGCGGGGAAATCCCTGCTCCCCTGTACCAGCAGCCGGCTGGGCCCGGGACAGCGGGCGAGGAGAGAACGTGATTTAAACGGGTTCAACGGGAGGTTGCCTTGCTAGCAGGTCTCGCCCCTCGTAGCCTGGATGAGCGCAGAGGGGTTCGGGTCAGTGAAGCCCGCCACGCCACGGTGCCATGTTCCCTCATAGCAGGTCCCTGTTAATCTGCTACCCCCCACAATAACCCCACCCCCTCGTCCGAGGCTACAACAAATGGCCAGTTAAACCTTAAATGGGGCTTTAAGAGCCACCGCTACTTTCACATGAGCTGAAACATGGGATTTAGACTCTAAGTCCCCTGAGCCGCTTCCTGCCAATGGCCCTGCGTGGCCTGCCACTGCCACCACTTGGCAACACGGCTCACTAGGCTGGTTGTGAGCCCGCCGGGGCCTGGCGCTCTTCTGAATGGGCCGCCTGTCAGCCCCCCCTTGCCGTGTTCGCCGGCCATTACGTCAGCTTCCCCACTTCTTAACAATCAGGGTTTGGGGAGGGGGAACTAGCATAGTCATGAGTCCTAAACCTTTCCCCGCAGAACAGAGCAAACTGCAGCCCCCGCAACTTTAAATACGGCTCTGCAGCCACAGAGACTACAGGTCCCAGCATGCAATGCTGAGTCTTCATCTGGGCTGCCTTCTGCTCAGGTCAAGATGGAGCGTTGAATGCTGGGACCTGTAGTCTTTTTTGCAGGCAATGCTTATCCCCCAACCCCTCACTTGGCAGATCAACCACTGAACTTTTCGCCGCTGGGAGCGAAGTCTGGGTGAAGCTTGAGCTCCTAATATGAAGCGAATTCCCCGGAGGAGGGCGCTGTTCACACTAAGCACTTGTAATTCCCTGTGCGCTTTGCACTGTTCCTCAGTAGCAGCCTTTGAACACACAGACAAATGCACTGGCTGCTCGCACACCCTGCTCGAGTGGCTGCTTGTGATTAGATTTAGAATGTAATTAAACCTTCCCGGGGGCGGGCTCTGAGGGTAGATTCATTAATGTCATGCTGCTGTGACAGCGGCTCATACAAAAACCCCAGCATCCTTTTAAATAGGGCAGGGAACTTTTTGCAATGTCCATTGCCACGACAAATCGTTTTGAGTGAACAGATAAGAGAGAGCAGTAGGGGGATGGAATGCTGCTTGGGGTGAGCACAAGGGTGTATAGGGTGCATGTGTGGGCCGAACAGGCACTGCTACCGAAAAGCTCTGCCCGAAGGTTGGTCTTTAAGGTGCCACCGGACTCCTTGTTGTCGAAGGCCCATGCACGCCTGAAGTGGGGCATCCATAGGGACACGTGTCTCGAAGAACTCCAGTTACTGCACAAGGTCCGTAACCTAGTGGAAGGATAAGAGAGAACAACAGGAGAATGGGAATGCAGCTTTGCACTTAGAAAGTATCAGCAATTCTACTGCACTAGGCACAGGGATTCTGCTCTTCTGGTGGGCAGTGAGGTTACAGCAGTTCTGATTGGTCCGTGGCTGTGACATCACCTGAACGGTCATCAGCTAGCCAATCAGAACATGCCTTTGGACAATGAGTGTCCCCAGCCACCCCATTAATAGGATTGTTTGCTAAGTGTCAATCAGGGGCCCCCGTGCATGCTCGCTGGTGACAGGAGGGTTACAGAGGTGTCGCTGCAGGCCAGATCTGCCTTCCAACCTTTTATTATTGATGATGGGGTGCAGGGCCGTCCCTAGGGGGCTGTGGGGCCTAAGGAGGAAGTGACAAATCCATCACTTCCAGGACCAACCCGTCACTTCTGGGACCGACCGCGGCGGGTAGGGGAGGCGGTGCCTCTCCAAACAGCCAGACGTGGCTCCGCCCCCCCAAAGCCCCGCTTCAGCGTTGCCGCTGGGCTCCAGGGGGCTGGGGCCACACCACCTGCCTTCCCGGGGCTGGGGAGGCTGCTGCGGCGCTGCCGTGCGCTCTCCCTCCCGGCGTGCTGTCCCTCGTGTGGAAGGGGCGGGGCTGGGGGTAACCTCCCCAGCCAGCGGTTCATGTGCCGCCCATGTGCGCTGGCCAATCGCACCGACCCGCGGGGTCCCCCAAAGCGTTGGGCCTGGAGCGGTTGCCCGGATTCCCCATACTCTAGGGACAGCTCTGATGGGGTGTGACCCAGATAAAACCCAGCTCGACTCTCAGATCCTGGGGGAGTTTGGGGCTGACCATTAGAAAATCCTCCCGTGACCTGAGCATATCTGATCAGATTAACTGCGACCCGGCCCCAGGCCTTCGGGGGTTGATTTTCAGAGGAGAACTGTGCTGTAAACTGGACTCCCTGAAATCTGCACATCCGCTAGTCAGAGCTCCTTCGCTTCCACAGGGCTCCTCCCACCCTAGCTGGCCTGAGGGGTCATGTTTCTTCTGCTTGTGGGAGCAGGGGGCTGGAACAGTTTGTATAGTGGGGGTGCCAAGAGCCATTGAACCAAACTGTAAACCAGGGGTGGGCAAACTTTTTGGCCCGAGGGCCACATCTGGATATGGAAACTGTATGGTGGGCCATGAATGCTCATGAAATTGGGGTTGGGGTGCGGGAGGGGGTGAGGGTGAGGGCTCAGGCTGGGGGTGTGGGCTCTGGGGTGGGGCCAGAAGTGAGTTCAGGGTGCGGGAGGTGGCTCCAGGCTGGGGCAGGGGGATGGGGGTGAGGGCTCCAGCTGTGGGTGAGGGCTCTGGGGTGGGGCTGGGGATGCAGGAGGGTGCTCCGGGCTGGGACCAAGGGGTTCGGAAGGCGGGAGGGGGATCAGGGTTGTGGCAGAGGGTTGGGGTGTGGGAGGGAGTCGGGTGCAGGCTCCGGGCGGCGCTTACTTCAAGCAGCTCCTGGAAGCAGCGGCATGTCCCCGCTCTGGCTCCTACGCAGAAGTGCGGCCAGGTGGCTCTGCTGTGCGCTGCCCTGTCCGCAGGCGCCGCCCCTGTAGCTCCTATTGGCCGCAGTTCCTGGCCAGTGGCAGCTGCGGGGGCGGCGCTTGGGGTGGGGCAGCGTGCGGAGCCCCCTGGCTGCCCCAACGCAAAAGAGCCAGAGGGGGGACATGCCACTGCTTCCAGGAGCCGTGCGGAGTGGGGCAGGCCCTAGACTCCGCTCCCCGGCAGGAGCTCGAGAGCTGGATTAAAACGTCTGAAGGGCCGGATGCGGCCCCCGGGCCGTAGTTTGCCCACCCCTGCTGTAAACCCTGTATATGATGGAAACCACTTCAAGCCAGGGGTGCTGCAGCACCCCTAGTTCCAGCACCTCGGTGTGAGAGGAGCGACTCCTCTAGCAAAGTTTATGACCCACCCTGCGTTTAAAGGCTCTGGACCAAATTCATCCCTGTGGTGACCATCGACTGACACGGGGACAGATTTGGTCCCTTATCTTCAAGTGACTGAAAACGGCAGGAGCTCAATTGTGCCATTCACGGAGGTTCCAGCCGCTGCTGTCTGTTACTGAGGGCAGGACACGGGTATGGTTTCCACAGCACTGGGATGTGAACCTCAGGCCTCGAAGCTACAAATGACTCTCCTCTGAGTCTCCCTCCCCCAGAGCCACCTCCTTTGCATGAGGTCACAGTTGCCTGTGCCTTGACTTCGAGGGGGACAGACCCCAGCGTGCGCCGTTCCCTCGTGAGCCGAGCCGCCTGGCGCATGCCGGAACTCACCAGTGTTGGTAACAGTAAGGCAGCCCCTGGCAGCACTGGGTGTGCCGGGTCTGTCTGCGTGTCTCCCTCCCCACCCCGCCGGGATCGAACAAATGGGGAAAACCCTGTTCTGGTTCCAGGGCTCCCCCCTCTCCACCCCCTGTGCCAGGCTGGATCCTTTTCACAGCTCCAGGTGCGGGCTAAGCCCAGTGAGAGGCAGCTACGAGGCTGCTGGAAAGGAAACACACTGTACCTAACAATACCCAGCTCTTGCACGGCGCCTCTCATCAGCAGAGCCTAAAGCGCTTTTCAAAGGAGCTGAGCATCATTATCCTCATGTGACAGATGGGGAAACTGAGGCCCAAGGAGGGGCAGTGAGTTGGCCAGGGTCACCCGGCAGATCAGTGGCAGAGCCAGGAATAGAGCCCAGGTCTCCTGAGTCCCATCCAGTGCCCTCTCCAGATGGGCATGATCTCACTACAATGGCACACAGGCTTCCCCGGGCACCTGCAGCCCTCCGGTCTTGCTCCATAGCAGGGTGAGAGCAGCCTGGTCTTGGCCATTCACCCCGAGCCCTTTCACTGTGCAGGCTGCTTCCTAATGAGCAAGGGTGAAAGCCAGGCTTCACCCAGCTACGCCTCGGTTTCCCCAGGATGGCTGTGGGGCATTGCTCACTGTCTGTCGGGTCTCAAGAGCTGCAGATGCAAAGGGCTTCCCCAACATGGAGATGCAGCAGCCCCTGGGAGGGTAGGGAAGGATATTTAGGGATTGCTTCACCTGCCGGTGGAATGCAGCAGCTGTTAACAGGGCAGAGCGACTTGTGGGGGGGAGCACCCCTTATTGAGTCACACACCCTGCTCCTCGCAGCACAGCGCCCCTAGCGCCATGATGGGATGGTGGGTCATTGCTGAGTCAGAGGGGGAAGTGCTGGCTACTGAATCAGCACCACTTCCTGTCACATTGACATGTTCCTCGGAAATCTCCCATCCCAGAGTCTGGCCTGGCCTAACCCTGCTTAGAGCAAGATCTGGGGGAGCGGATAGGTCTGTCCAGCTGCTGCCAAAGCCCAGGGTCTCCTGGCTGCAGGCACCGCTAGCCCTCTGACTGTCCAGCATCTGGGACTTCCCCCTACCCTGGCGCCATCTTTCTTGAGCTCCAGCTCCATTTCGGTCCATGTTCCTTTAAAAACTGTTTGCAATTCAGTCTTTCTCCAGCAGCAGATTCTCTAGCAAAGACAGCACAAGGCCTTTTGCATATTAATTTCATTTGCACAATTACAGGGATTCAGCTCTTGCTATTAACAACTTCTGTTCCCTTCTCCCCTACCTGTTAAAACCTCTGAGCCTTCTGCCCGTTTAACTCTCTCTAGGTCACTGATTGAAAGAGGCAGTAGAGGGTGAGTGGCTACTGTCGACTTCCCCTCGCTGTATTTTAGGTGAACAATCAGCCACAATACGTCCACCCCCTTCCTGGTGCTGCTCTGAAAGAAAGCGGTTAAATTGCTTGATAAAGGAGGCAAGGCAAAACAAAGGAATAAAATACACCATTAGCTAACAAAAATGGATCCACACAGCAGGGTATAAGCTAATAAGTACTGGGAAGTAATTTGCTTTTGCCAAATGACTTCTCCCTGAGCCGCAGGTTTCCCATAGGTTCTCAGCAGCTCTAGCTGGCACAGTAGGTGCAGCGGCAGCCTTGCTGCTAAATAGTATTTTAAAGGTGATTTGTGAACGCCTAATTGCTGTAGGACACAATTCACTTGGCAAAGAGGCAGCTGTGACTTTTATTACTGCATTAGCTTTGTTACATAAAACTAACCTGAAAATGCATCTCGGGAACTTGTGCCCCTTGAAAGATCCGTGAGCGGCAAAGCTGGCCAGCGTTGGCATGGGGCTTCGCTCTGGGAACAGCCCGGCAGCAGTAGGGGGTGTGTAATGGGCAAACGTTCCCTGGCCAAAATCAGCTTCTTCCCGGTGATCAGCCGGAGGCGAGTCCCCCGGCTTGCCTGCCTGCCAGTGTGACTTGCTGTCACCCCTCCTTTGCGCGCACACTTCCCTGAGCTACCGTCGGAGCTTGGTTGTGCTGGTGTAGATCTCTGGCGTGACTCTGTTGAGGGCCCTGGAGTTACTCTGGATGTCTGTGGGGGAAATTGAGAGGGGAATCTGACCAGAGTTCTCGGGAAGCATGATAGGCAGCACGTAGGTTTCAGCAAGCGACTTGGAAAACAGGGCGACTTGCATCTCATCCTAGGATTCGGGCGTCCTGTTAGGTTTCCTTCAGCCCATTCCCCACGGGCCACAGCAAGATCAGTCCCTGTCGATTCACCAGCACTTCGCCCAGTTCTAAATGTCCCAAACTCCTTCCTTTGGGCAACTATTCCACGGTTCAACAGGCCTTGCTGGGAGGAAGCGCTTCTGTTCAGGAAGGAGGGGCTGGTGGCTAAGGCATGCGACTGCGTCGCTGTGTCACTGGACCAGTCCCTTAGTCTCTCTGCGTGTCATTCCCCCGTTTGTAAAATGGAGGTAACTGCACTCCCCTACATGACGGGGGCAGGAGGAGAGGGTAAACGAATGGCTGTTTCTAAGGCACTCTCATGACTGGCCTTCGTCCCAGTAGTACTGAAGAACCTAGACAGATCAATGTCATCCCCTTGCTTTTAGTTGTTGTAATTCTCTGAGGTTCATTGCTCTGTTCCAGCCAAAGCCCTCTCTGTACACACACACACCTGAAGTCCTGTCATGTGGGTCAGTGTCCTTGCCCCGTTGGTTAACTGAGCCAGAGAGCCATTAAGAGACTTTCCCAAGGTCACGCAGCATCTCAGTGGCGGAGCTGGGCATAGACCTCTATAGTCCTCTCTCCTCCCCTCTGTGCATCACTTGCCTTTTTAGATTGTAAATTCCTCAAGGAAGCAACTGTCTTCTTGTATCACATGTTCAGCCCCAAACCCAACTTGAGTCCAATCCAGGCCTCTGGCTGCCATTGTAATATGTACACTAAATAATGACTGGCCCATATGTCTTCTCTTATCCCCTTGCACCACCCTCAAGAACTCTTCTCTCTCGTGAGGGGTTGCACCCTGTTAAACCCTGGGGCGAATATTTCCAGCCCCACATGCACTGACCTCTGGGGCTTCCCGTTTTTAAACAATCCTTTGTGTCAGTTTTCAGGAATATGTGAGATCTCGGCAATAGATTTAAAAGCAAATGAGAACTAGACTCTGACAGATGGAGCAGGGCTGTGCCCGGGGGGCGATGCTGGTGCCCTCTCGTCTGTTAATGAGGGCGTGGCTCATTTGCTGTAGCACTCACCATGTGCAAGGCAAAAGGGCCCCGCCCCAAAGAACCTCCATTGGAGAAGATGCAAGCTGAGGGGCACAACGTGCTAGGGATGTGATCAAGGTGGCCGTGGTCACTCAAGTTAACACGGGGTTTTTTTCGTGAGCTGGCGAGGTTCTCCCCAGGCAGCCCCAGCCTCCCCATAAGCAGCCAGTTAGTTTCTTGTAGGGGGTTTAGTTGCATATAAAAGACAAAGCCCCCAATATTGGGGTGTCCGGTCACCCTAAGAGTGGAGAAGAAAGGGGGAGATGCAGAAAGAGACACGGGTGAGGGGGCTGAGGAGGAGACAGTTCTGCACAGCGCTGAAAACAGAGCCAAGGAGTTTGGATTTCATATGGTGAGGAAGGGGGAGGCGTCAGAGGGATTCAGTGGAGGAGCAAAGAACATGATCTCCTGTCCCTTTCTCTTTCCTGCTTCCTGGCCACAGAGCAAAGCCATGAAACTGACCAGATCTTGTATGTTTCACTTTCCTGCTTTGCCCACTTAGGGGGATAAGTGGGAGTCTGGCAAGAGAGGCATGCTCAATGCCAGGCTGGCCTCTGTGCCGCTCCTCTGCAACTGGGGAGTGCCCCCAGGAGGTTCAAGTTCTGTCGGGTACCAAGCCATCCGGGGAGAGTGGTCTGACGGGGCCCCTTGGCTCTAAAGATCATACCGACAATGAAGGGCTAGAAGCAGAGTGTCCAGAGAGCTGGAGGCGGCCGGTAACAGCAAGGGCTGATTCCTTACCCCCATACAGCCCGTAGCAGCCTGTCAGAAGACAGCTGGAGATGCGCTGTGTGCGGTCAGCAGAGAGATGAATGCGGAGGCCTTCTAGTTTAGAGATGGGAATTAATCAGGAGTGATGTTTCCCGGAGTAGCTCTGCTGCTGCCTCCTGATTAGCCTGCCAGAGCTCTGGAGATGGAAGGGGCCAGGTGCAGCGTTGCTAATTTCCAAGGGAGACGTTGCTTAAAGGCCTGTAACTGCATTGCAATAACAGGCAGTGGGGAGGAGGAGGCTCCCTGAATCAGAACAGCGCATCTCCGGGACCCGTGCGAGGCCAGGGAGCCGTGGCCTCCGTCCTCCTCAGCGTCCACTTTGGGCTGGGTCTGGAGTGAATTGCAGCCAGGAGTGAGCTCCGTGCCGAGGTTCCCGAGGGGGCTCCCGAGCCCCCGCAGGGAACGTGCCTTTTGTTGGCCTGGCATATGGGGCTTCTAACGAAGCCGCTCGCTGATGGGGGGAGGCGTGTCGGGTAAAACAGGCTTCAGCATTGCAGAGCGCACCGATCTAGTTCTCTGGCCGCTGACCCCCCTGTGGTGTCTCTCTGCTTCGCAGATAAGCAGTTCCTCGCCTTCTTCTTCAAACAACTGCAGCTGAACCGGAGCGGGCGCTACCAGGACGCCTTCCCCTACCTCTCCCCCTGCGGCCGAGAGCACAACTTCGTGCGCTGCGACGACCGCCCCATCGTCTTCACCCACCTGCTGCGGGGCCAGGCGGGTGAGGAGCTGCTCTCCTACTGCGGCGGCGGAGACAGGCTGGTGGTCGGCTTCGAGCCAGAGAAGCTGGTGATGTTCCCCGAGAACGGGCGCGTCTATCACCCGGCCCCGCAGAAAGCCGGCGGCGTGGGGCTGGTGAAATCATCCCTGGCCTTTGAGCTGAGCCCCTGCTTTGAGTACAGCCAGGGCGCCGGCGGGCCCCCCACCCACTTCCGCTGGCAGGGCAAGCGCTACCCCCTCACCAACGAGCTGGTGCAGCTGATCCGCTCAAACAGCAGCGCCTGAGCCGGGGCGTCGCCAGTGAGGCTGCCTGGCCCTGGGGACAGAGCAAGGACTGGCCCAGAGCTTGGCCATCTGCAGCTATGTTGGCTGCTTCGCAACAGCCTGAGGACAGCACCTCCCGGGCACTCACTGGAGCAGA